TGCAATATGGCTTCCACCCAACCACACTCTATGTCGACTTGTTTTTGTTTGTCAACTGCTGTTTTTGGCCACAGTTCGCCTTGCGAATGTTGCTGTAAAGACGTCCGTCAAAAAGGAGCCACGAAGATGAGCGAAAGGCTGGCTCTACACGAAGGAAAATGAAAGAATATGGTTTACTGAAGAATGAGTTCACTTATTGATCCCATGTTTGGACCGTGGTATGTATCAACGACTTCAAAGGGTCTCGAGCTTAGCGTTAGCCTTGCTTAGTCTTACTTGGCTTCGCAATCTGTTAGCTCACCTGTTGTTTCATCTAAATAAATTAAATACGTGATTTTTCGGTCGCTTTTATTAAATTTTTGTAAGCAAAATTTTTTACCTGGTTTGAGCTGAGGGTTGATATTTTTGCTGGGGATTGAAAAATTGAGCAAATAAATGTTACAAGTTTGGAGAGGGTTCAGCGATTTCAGAGAAAAATACTCCAAAAAACCGTTTGTCAATTGACTTTGCGCCGCTACTGTACTTGTTGATTCAACCGGCGGTATCTCCAGCTTTCTGTCAATAGTATCTTTGACGATATACTGTGATACTCTACTGACGAAATGCTTTCGACCTTTCCGATCTATCAAAAATGATGACATTCAGCGAGTATCACTCTTGCGCAGGGATCACGTTCCTCCCTAAATGTTTAAGGTGGATCATTTTAGATCATAGAAGTGGTTTACGAGACCGGTTACACGTTTCGAAATGTCGAAATGTCGCAGTTCCATTTGGATGTAAGAAGTCGTCGCTTGTTTCTGAATAATGCCTCAGAGGTGAGTCCCGGGGAGAGTTGTATTGTATATGTCTGAAGTGCAAGTTTCGTTTCAAATAAGTCTCGTTTCTTGTAGCATCTGTTTTGTGTTTACGTGGAGGTGCACATTCCTTGCAGTATTCAGGTAGTGAAGAGCACTGAGCTGATGGACTTAAAAATGAAGAATGGTGGAATTTTGCTGCACAATTACTGGCGTGGTTGCCCAGAATTTGCACCTCTCAGTTGGCATGAAAAGGGTGAACGTAAGTGAAAAGTAGGGTTGTTGTTTTGGAATCAAAAAGGATGTAAGGTGGTTGAATAGTTCATGAAAGGTATGTGACGGGCTGTGCTCTGCGCTGAAGGGTATTTATCAATTGTAGGGAGTGTTGTCCGGGTGACAGATTGTGCAGAAGTGCTCTTCTACATCATGTTGGAACTGATGGGTTTGATGACATGGCGTGGCCTTAACAAGGATGAGGTTAGTACAGATGCCTTCAGTTTGTGGGCAACATTCTGAATCCTTAAGAAATCTTTTCTTTCAATGTTCTGAATTTTCCTCCTTCTCTTTTTTTGGATTTACGACATGATCAATGCTGTTGCTATTCTGAAATATAATTTGTTCAAGCGGCTGCTTGCTGAATATTCAGGTATTGGAGTCTGTTCTATTCAACGAAGAAAGTGTATTTGTGGTTAGCGTCTCTTCTGTAGTCAAAGCATGCGTTTCAAAAGTATATAGGCACCCTTGAAAACAGCTGTTCCTAGTTACGAAGAATTCTCATGGTACTTAATTAAACTGCTCTGAAGCTGTAGTCTACTTATTTCGATGAACCACTGAATATTTTCTGATAATACCTAAAAATGTCCCCTGTTTCAAAAGTATAGGGGCACCCGGGCAGAGTGATTCAAAAATTGCTTCTTCCTGTGAACCATTTGCGATTGAGTTGAAGCATTTGCGATTCTTTTGGGCATTTTTATGAAAGCACCCTACATCTTCAATGTGCCTGGATGATATGTGCCTTCAGATTAACACCATCTAGGGGATACCACGACCTCCGATAGCGCTTACGATATGCTCTCCTGCATTTTCCCACTCTTCGCAGCGTTGTTTCTCTCCGTCAACCAACCTCACAAGAGGAGTTTCACTGTTTTGTATGACGCTTTCTGCTTTTTCTCCCCACTCACGTTCCTCATCGCGTACCTTGTCTAATTTTCGAGCAAAGTAACATAATTATTCGATCCCGACCCGTGCCTTTGAATAAGCGTTCCGCATGAAGCTCGTGAAATAAGCCAAGCTAAACCGGCTGGAAATATGCGGGGTTGCTGTAGAAAGCTATGTTTGTCAACATGATAGCAGGTCAACACTATGGCCGGGTTAGGAACGACATAATTAGATCCCAAACCTTAACAACCCTGCTTTCTCCCCTGATGAAGTCATCAATATCATAATGTACTCAGATATAGCGCATGGAACTTGGGAGATCCAGGCGGCAGGAGTCGGTATTTCGACGGCTGCTGTTCCTTGGTCTACAGAAAGGAAAAGCTTCCAAAACGAGAGTTATTCAGAATCCATCGTTGACGTCGAACTTTAATCCTGATCCTTTTCTCCCTCAATTTTAGCCATATTTACGTCGCAGAAATTGAGAATAATTAGAACCTCGTAAATAAGCTCTATATCTTTTGCAATCCAAATGCGGTGATCTTTCCGAAATGGATTCAAAGGTGTAAATGAATGACTAAAAGAACATCACTGATTAGTTTTGTGTTTTTATTTTTTG